CCGTGTCCCGTCAGCGGTAAAAGTGTTTTTATAGGTAAAAATAATTAAAAAAGAGCGTCCACGTGCCTGTCGCTGGGAGGGCGCGGGGGGTGCCGGGGGAGGGAGAGAACACCCGCACGCTGAGGGTGTAAGGAAGATGAGCAGCGCCCTGGTGTTAGCTCACAGGCGTTGAGGTGGAGTTATCACCCCGACGTCATCCCAGCAACCAATTAGTTAAATACATTAACTGTTAAATACTTTAAAAATTTAGTTTCTTCCCTTTTGCTAAAGGGCCAAAATGGTGCTGATCTCTCTGCCAATCTTGTAAAACTTACTCCATAATAGTCACATAGAGGTGGTCTCTGAATCAAAGTTTAGATAGTGATATTTAATAAAATAATGTTTTCCTATCCCATCCTACTAGGTCAGACTGCAAACCCAGCCTAAGCCACAGCCTGGTCAACCCTTGCTTTATTCTGGGACCTTTGACTGCTTCAGAAAGACTCTTGTTGGAGAGGTACTGTGTTAGCGTGACATCTGCGATGCCTGCCAAAAATACCAGTTGTTCCTGTTCGTCACAGGAATGGAATCGTGTGGGAATGTTGCCCCCCAGAGACTACGATTCCTGGGTTATCAGTTGAATTCATTCTAATTAAAATTTTTAAGCAGACTACAAAACTGGGGGAATGCTTAACATCAGCATGCTCCAACGGCGTGTCTCTTTGTTTTGTTATGAAACGCTTCTGGTTCAAAATAACACGAGATTAATATTTGAAGTTATAGACTGGAGTGAGTGTTGGCAGTTGTTTGTTGGCTTTGTTATTGTAGTTGGGGGAATCTTGCTGTCTTTGGTGTTTGGAGTTCTCTCTGGAAATCCTAAAATAGGCAATGACTTTTGTTGTGACAGGCAGTACTTTTACTTTCTTCTATAATGTGTTATGACGTCTGTGAGAAGGCAGAGGAGCATTAATTAATAGATTTATTTTTTTTTTTCTTCATACACAAGGTCAGTTGTCGTAGTTTTGTTCAACCTTATTCAGGTGGACAGTGTTTTTCACTGCTGAATCAGCCATATCATGTGTTTGAACTATAGTCTGTTTTGGTTTTAGAAAGGCATGCAGCCTTGGTTTAAAGACTTTAAGTGATACAGAATCCAGTTTTTGGCTTCATAAGTTTCCCCAGCACCTATTTACCATTTGGAAACAATGGCTATAAAGCCCACCTGTTTGTTTACTAGTCTGAAGTCTGATTTCTAACCACTGGATCTCCTTAGGTACCTCTCTGTTAAATGAAAGATCTGCCTCATATCTGAAATCTACTTTCATTATGGTATTAACCACTTGTTATATAACCAAGTAAATCTTGCTTCCCCAGTCTCCCACAAAGCACTGAAATGCTTTGCTAGCTCTGAATCCCTGGTGGTTTTTATCACCCCTGCTGAAGCACAGACGTCAGAGCTGAACCTTAATAATAGCCTTGTGATGGGAAGTTCAAAAGTAACGCTGCCTCTCTACTCCTACTCAATACTCATCAGTTTCTATAAGGAAAACTATTAAACCTCTCTGCCAAGGCCTTTTGTTTCCTGCTGCTCATGGGAAGGTTGAGCAGGAGCGTCTGGTCTTCGTCAGCCAGATACAATTTCATTACAGAGTCAGTTGTGCCTGTGAGGATACAGACACATACTGGGATACGTTGATTTATTTGGGAGGGGAAGGAAGGGGTGGACGAACCAGCAAATATTTAATTTGTGCATCTAGCCTTTATCTAGAAAGATAGCTCTCCTTTTTATTAGAAAAAGTTCAGTTCAAAGGCAAGTTAAATGAAATAAATGCTACTGCTGGGGTCTACATTAGAATTCTTCTGTGGGTGTAGTCTGATGAAGGGAAACATCAGGAATGTTGAGTTGTACGGTGAAAAAGTTTTGACTTAGGGAAGGAAAGAAAAAAATAATTTGCTCTTGAACTTGTTTAAACTGAGCTCTTGTGGGGAGTGAAGCAGTTCAGGTTCATCTCCCTGGCTCTTCTTTTTATCTAAAGAGTGAATTCGATTCAGCGTTCTCGGGTTCAATGTCAGGATATTACACGACTGCATTTGATGACGTTAATAAAGCGCATGTGTGATATTGTATGTATCTGAGAGAGAACATTTTTGATGTAATCTATTAGAACTGTTATTCAGGTGGCTTTTACCTTAACTTCCTCATATTTGAGATGTAAGTATGGGATGAACAGTATTGGAACAGGAGGGTATACGTGGTGCCAGTGTTTTCCAGGAAGGACAGCTTCCCTCTGCAACAGGCCCTGAGCCTCAACTAAACATATATAATTGCAAATGAACTGTAGACCCCATTATTCCTCTGATTAATTTGACTGACTGATACTATCCTGTATTGTAGCCTTTTGCTTCTTCTCAGCAAGTTGAAACGTGTGCAAAGTCTGTGCAAAACCCAAGTAATTCTTGTGGTAACATTTCTTGCAGGGAGTCCGAGGCTTATACAGAGGAATGGCAGCTCCTATTATCGGAGTGACACCCATGTTTGCTGTGTGCTTCTTTGGATTTGGCTTGGGAAAAAGACTCCAACAGAGAAAACCTGATGACGTTTTGACGTGAGTTTCTGAGTTAATCAGATGGTTGGGAAAGACACCCTAAGGCTCTTGCAGCCTGTTGTATTGTCGCACGTTGAGTTGTGGTGTAAATTTGTCTCTTCTCCCAAGTTATAAATATAGTTCTAAAAAAATAAAACACTCGTGTGTTTTAATGCTTCTGGAAGCGTGGGACTGATAGCAGAGGCTAAAAACAGACAGCATGTGGGCAGGTGCTATGCAATTCCCTTTCTACGCAAGAAAGAGCCATTAAGGAACAATTCCGTTTTAGATGAGTACACTGTAAGTTATATAATGATTGCCTGCCAACAGTCTTGCTATTAACAGAAACTATGGGAGAAATAAATTCATGGTCAAGCAGCCTTGACAACATTCACGGTCCCGATTCTCTTTTCTCTGTTAGTTGTGACTCTTGCTGTGTCCTTATGTTAGGATGTAATAATAGCCATAGAAATGTTTTTATTATTAATTTCTGAAAAGAGGTGTTTATGAGCAGTTTATGAGAGGAACTCAGGCATGTCTAGCCCTCTCAAAAAGAGATGGGAAGCTAAGAAAATTTTGTATGGCTTTCTGCAAGCTAACTTAGGCGTGAAGGAAGTCCCCCACCCATAAAGTGATAGAACAAGAGGGAATGGCTTTAAACTCCAATAGGGGAGGGTCAGACTGGACATTAGGAAAAAATTTTTCCCAGAAAAATTTCCCAGAGTGATCTGTGATAAAGTACTCCCTTAACTTCTTTGCTGTGATCTGTAGCTCTACAGGACCAGACCTGTAGCTTAGCAAAATTTTGTTCTATTATTCGTGCAATATGTAGGCGCCCCGTCAGAAAGCAGGGGTCCATTGTGTTGAGCCAAGCGTGGTGGGGAGGTGTGGTTTGTGTTGGAGCTTTGCCTGCCCGGGGGCTGCCCAGGTGGTGCGAGTTCACTGAGCCACTGCCACGACACGGAGCGAGCTGCCTCTGTGCCAAGATGCTGGGGCACTGCTAGTTTACCCTCTGGTTTACCACAGTAGTGTCCTCATGCAGGCAAGGCTGAAGGGTAAGACCAGGGGAACGATAAGGAGTGGAGAATACGAGGAGACAAATGGGTTTGTGGGCTGATTTCCAGCAGCATGTTACCTCAGCGTAGCCAAAGGCAAGTTTTGAGGAGCAAACTGGAGCAGGGCAGTGTATTTTGTGACTCTTTATGCAGAATTCCTCCCAATGAGAGAGAAAGAACAAAGGTCAACAAAGAGCTGGTGGAACTGTCATTGTGCCCAACTGCCCTGTACCTTAGGCACAGGCTTTACACAGTCTGCCTGGGACGTGAGGCCCAGAAAGAAAGGTCAGACTCTTAGTGCCATGGTTGTGGGTCTAGAGGCAGGCAGGATGGCAGTGGTTCCCCATGTTGATTTTTAAGGGAAGTTTTGGAAGGAAGGAGGTGGAGAGAAACTTGAGAAGCCTGTTCTATCTTTTCTGGGGATGAATAATCCCGAAGTGGGTTAGAAAACTCAAAGTTTAGCTTGAGCAGGAGGTGCATGGTGGAGGGGAGAGGGAGCTCTAAGTGTTCTGGAAGATTTAATGTGAATTTAAGAGTAAAGAAAAGTGTAAGAATTGGAAAACCTGCCATCTCTTGGGCAAGTGGAGAGAAGTGGAAGGTGTGGAATTTAATAAAACTGAGATATTAGGTTGTCTTACTAGAGAACGGAGAAGGATGTTGAATGTGAAAATAAGTTTGTTGTGGAGAAACTCAGTCTGCTGAAGGGATTTCTGGCATGGAGACTTTGCCACATGAAAGTGGGTGCAGAATGTGTGGCCTGATGGCAGGTTGGTAGGACAGACTCGACGATGGCAGAGGGGGAAGGAGTGAGGGCCTGGGAGGTTACGGAAAGGAGGCTTCTGGCTGCACAGACAGGAATATGCACAAATGCTGGTGTCACTGAGAAGAGAGTGGGAGACTGGAGGAGGAAGAGACGAGTATAAAAATCAATGGGGAATGCTGTAGCAAAAATTGTAAGTACAAGGAATATTAGCAAATACAGTGGATGCGAAGAGCAGAGTTATGGTTGCTGTGGGAACCAGGGCTTTGAATCCTAGAGATCTTAAATTGTTTAGCTCCTATTATGCACTGATGAAGCACTTCTGCACTGATCAAAAGCAGTTCCACTAGTTCCACTGCCAACCTCATGTGGAACAGCATAATCTGGTGATACGGGGGTCTTTCTGCCCTTTGTTTCCTATGTGCTGTGTTGTGTTAGGGTCTCTTCTGTTTCCCCGGGGCAGATACCCTCAGCTGTTTGCTGCTGGCATGTTGTCGGGAGTGTTCACGACAGCAATCATGGCTCCAGGAGAGAGAATCAAGTGCCTTTTACAGGTAAGGCACTGGATGGTGGTGATGGGAATTTTAATTTCGGAGGTTTTGTCTTTCCATACCAGGAATTTCTTTGGTTAGTGTGTTTACTCTGTTCTGTTTTTTGACAGGACCGAGACAACTGTCATGTAATGCAGCTGTGTCATGGAGAAGCATTATACAAACTCACCATGACAGTTGAAGCACGTAGAGCATCCATTGCTCTGCTCGTTTTACAGAGCACAAGCCTTTACACTATGTGGCATTATACGAGGCATCAGCGGATGCCTCAGTCCACTTCAACGTATGGACAAGTCCAGTTTTTCAGAATGAAACTTCTTCTATAAAAATGCCAAACTACCAGATCATTAGACACTAGTATAAAGATTTTTCTGTTGCCTTGACAGGTTCCCAATACGTGACTAAGGAACACATTCCCAAATTCATGAAATAGTTTTCTAACGTTTGGGTGACTGTTAGCTTTACGCCTCCTCCAGGGTTTTTAAAGTGTTGTTGGAAAATGTAAACCTGAACAAATGAAAATACCATCCTTAGCAGAGATGGGAAGCTTTGCTTATTTCAGACTTTTATACGCACACAAACTGTTTGAATTTCGCTAAACTATCCGAAGGCTGCTTTTTGTCAGTGCAAGTGTAGAATTACCTAACGAACTTCAGTTGTTAAAACTCACACTGCAGAAAAATAAGGGAGAATCTAGCCTCTGTGTGGAACAGTAAACAGATCCCCAGCTTGGACACGAGAGAGCTGTTTGAGGAAGTGATGCAGAGGTTTCAGATGCAGGAGTGCCTGTGGAATGCGTGTGTGCTCCTTCCTCTCTGAAAACATGCACGTGGCTTTTCTAACTGTTAGCTGAATGGTTGTTCACCAGTCAGAAACCTTCACTAGTCAGAAACTATCGCTTTAATCCTTCAGATCCAGGCGGCTACAGGTGAAACTAAATACAGTGGCTCTTTGGACTGTGCAAAACAGCTGTACCGTGAGGCTGGGATTCGTGGCGTGTACAAGGGGACAGTGCTCACCCTCATGAGAGGTAACTGATAGAGACATTCTGATGCTTCTTCTATGTGGGGTACTTTAAGATAAGAAGCCTGACATAGTATCATAGATCCCGTTGTCCCTTTAGCCAATTGGAGATGCTGTGTCACCCTTTTTTCTTGTTTTGCAGTTTGCAGAGCTACTCCAGTGCCTCAAAGGGACTGAGAAATAAACATGAGATTCTCAGTGAGTGAGGAAGAGATTAGATGACAAGGATCAGAGGGATGTAGGAAGTAATTAAGATCTGAGAAGCCAAGAGGAATGAGAGACTTCAGGAGAGGAGCAGAGAGAACAAAGAGAAAAGAAAAATACAGAAGTGGGCGCTTTTTTTGTTCTTTTCTTTCCTTCTTTTTTTATTTCCTTGGGAGAAGGATTGTGACTGTGACTGTTGCTGTGTAATGCTGACAGCTTTAAAAGGTGTGACTTCAGCAGTTATGCTTTCTACCCACTTGAGTGTGGGTTATTTTGGACAGGGATGTCATGACCCCTGTCACAACAACAACAACAAAATAATTGTGCCAGACACTGAATCCTTTACGTGTTTCGGTACTTTCTTCTTTGAAGAGCTTTAGATTGTCCCCTATACTGGGACAATGTTTTCCAAGAATAAGCTGAAATTTCTGTATTTTGATATTTCAGTTCAGGAATTTGTTCTATACTCTGCTTCTCGTAGAAGTGTCGCAGCTAGCATTGTAACTCTGGCAGTGTCTAGCCAGAGGCTGGTTTAGGCATGAGTTAAGAATGGGCCGTGGGAGTACCTTAAAAAAAAAACCCAGAACAAACCCATCAGCTACAAAAAACCCACCCAAAATAGAATCATTAGAACAAATAGCGTGCAAAACTCCTGTGGTTCCCAAACTGCTCTTATCTGCTAGGCAGCAATTACGAAAGCTTAGAGCTGTCTCATCATTAGCTTAACAGCCAGCAGACAGGTTACAGTCTGATTTGCAAGGTTGCTGACAGAAGCATTTGAGAACAGATATTTTCCCAATTCTTACCTTTAAGCACTTGCTAAAGTACCTGGGAAAGTTCAGGCTCCTCTGTCTAGAGCCACAGAAGATTTTATTTTGTTTGTAGAAGGGGTTCAGAAAGGAAATTTGGATGTTCTTAGTGGTGTTGCTGAGCTGGTGTGGGGCTGCTGTGCCTCTAGGTTTCATTTTGTTTCCCACTACTCACAGTCTTTGTTGTTTACCCACTAGATGTCCCAGCCAGTGGAATGTACTTCATGACGTACGAGTGGCTGAAGAACATTCTGACTCCTGAGGGAAAGAGGTTAGTGAAATCTCAGTCATCATTTTCTGGACTTCCCTGATACTGCTGGTTAATTTCCCCAGTTACCAAGAGATTTTGAGCAGTATCATCAAAACAAATTTAAAAGAAAAAGGGTCACCTGCCTTGTGAGTTGAGCTGGTTTGGTCTGGGGTTAACAGACAATTAAAATAGTATTCTAAGTTTCCCTCAGATTCTAGCCTTGGAACTTTCACCCCTGTGTGTGCACAAAGAGCTGGGGGGTTTGTTGTGGGGGTTTAGGGTTTTTTTGTTTGTTTGGGGTTTTTTTTTGTTTGTTTTGGGTTCCC